CATTATTAATACAGCTAATTAAAAACCTATGATAAGATGCAATTTGTATGTGTAATAATGAATCAGGACGTGTAAAAGATAAACATTAAGGATTTCCTGCTATATTAAAAAAAAACAATTTGAAAAGGACTTCTTCTCCTTCTACTCGCATTTCCAGTTATACTGTCATTATAGTGCTCCAAATAAGAACAAAAAGTATGTACAAAACTTTTCAAAACCTTGAAGGGAACAGGTTAGTGTGAAATTATCAAAAAAAAGAGAAGATGTGCAACATATCTGAAGGGATTCTAGTAGTTATTAAGAACAGTGAGATTTTTAGGAAATATAAACATACTAGACAGCTACTTCTAAAATCTTGTTGATGTTTAATAATTCTCTATGGTACTCACTGTGTTACTGCATTCACTAATGTTTTTTTGTGTGTTTCAGTTTAGTTTGAGTAAACTTCAGAGCAGCAACAAAAAACTGGCCTTAATTGTCCACTGTTAAGTGTATACCACTACATTGCAGCATAAAAGTATATTAATTAAAAAAAACCTTCATGTATGGAATATAGTAAACTCAGAAAGTACTTGCATCCTTAATAAAGTAAAGAAAAAGCCTGTATAAAAAAAATAGGGAATTATCTTAAGTATAATTTTTCAATTTATGTTTGACTGTATTTTACTTCATTAATGGAATTACCAAAATTACACAATTCTCAAATTATAAATTTCCCAAAAAACTATTTAAAAAATCAAGTGCAACAATTGTGGGAACCCCTATTTTCAGTATTTTGTGTACCTTCACCTTGCAAGGATAATGTAAATGAGCCTTTTTCTATGTTTTATGAGATATGAGAAAACATTGGGAGGGATCTTTTACCATTCCATTACCATTAAGAAGGGCAATGCAAACTGATGATTTTTTGGTCTATTAGACATTTCTTTGTGGATTTTAATGTGTGCTTGGGGTCATTGTTTTACTGGGAATTCCGTAGCAGCCACATTTAAGCCTCCTGGCAGAGGCAACCAGGTTTTTGGCTAAAATGTCCTGGTACTTGGTAGAGTTCATGATGCCAATGAGCTTAACAGGGGCACCAAGACCAGTGGAAGCAATACAGCCCTATAAAATCATCAACCACCATAATTTAAAATAAGTATGATGTTCTTCTCTGCATATGTATTCTTCTTTAGATACCAAACATCCTCTGGTGTGTGGCCAAAGAACCCTCTTTTCATCTCATCTAACCATAGCAACTGTTTCCAATCCCAGAGACAATGCTGTTTAGCAAACTCCAGTCACTTAAATGTGTTGGTTGCTTTCAATATTTTTTTATTTATTTTCCAGGCAGCCCTTCCAAGCAGCCTTATGGCATGGGAGGCATCTAATTGTAGATTTGGAGACTTATTGGCCCCAGGATGCAACCAAGTTCTGTAATTCTCTAACTATGACCTTTGGATATTTCTTTGTCTTCCGTAACATCTTCCTCCCCATACATTGTGTCTTTGACCAAATGTTCCAGTGGTTTCAACCTTTTTAATTATTGTCCTTATATTAGTAAGTGGTAAATTTAGTGGTCAATTTTTAAATATGTTTTTGTATCCATCGCCTGATTTATGAAAGTCAGTAACCATTACTCTTTAGTACTGTCTACATTGTGTGTTGTTTGCTGTACCGTGCATGTCCTGAGAGAACAGAGTGAGTAAGTATCCCATTGTACATGTACATATGGCAATAAACTCCTTTATTTTTTTTCATTTGTTAGTTGCCTTTCCCCATTGTGACGGATGATAAAAGAATTTTACATGCACATTAACTCAGTTTCATAACTCAGAGAATCGGGAACCTAAGAAAGGCTACAATATAATTCCTTAAGACTGGGATAAGCAAAATAATTGAATGTTAATGCAGATTTAATTTTGTTTGATTTTATTTAAAAGAATCTTAAAGGGAGCCAATAATTTTGACTTATCATTTTGAAATATATAGTTTTTCTAAATTTTTAGTATTTTAAGATATTACATTTTATTTATAATGTGTCTTTCCAAAACCAGGACACTGTCAAAAGTGGTAAAGGAAAAACAAAACCAAAAAAAGTAAAATATTTTTTTTTCTTAAAAAGAAAAGAAAACACAAACATACAGGATAGAATGTAGGGCAATTAAACTTAGTAAAAAGGTGAGCTTAAATTTTAGCTTTGAACAGAATACATAACATTTATCAAAGAATCCATAACACTGGAGGAGTGGCAGAAAAGGCATCGTCACCAAAAGTCCAAGATTTAGTCCTGGGTAGAGTGAGCAAGGGACCAGTGTCAACTGAATGGACCCTACGGCAGGTAGTGTGAACATGTGATGTATGATGGAGCCAGACTATTTAGAACCTTGAAAGTCAGTAACAATGTCTTATATTGAATATGTGACTTTATAGGCAACCAATGCAGAGATTTACGTGAAGGAGTGATATGTTGCCAAGGTCTGGTGCAAGTTAAATGGCAAGGTGCATGTTTTGGACATATTGCAGTTTACTAAGAAGAGTGTTAAGAAGCCCATAGAATATAGATATTTCTAGGAAAAAACATCTTAATCAATTTTCACATTGGGCTCAATAGACAGAAGAGGATCAAGTGTGACTCCCAGACTATGGCTGATTCGTGAATGGGGAAGCCTTCCACCATTATTGAGTTGATCTCCAAACTTTTCCAGCTGACACTTGCCATTCACCAGTGAAATGTGTTTTGTTGCTGTTTAGCTTCAAAGAAAACATAGGTCATTCATTTTACCTGTGTTGTTTATTTTATACCTTTTTTACTTATCATTATCAAGGATGCCAGAAGTTTTTGAGGTGAGAGTATGTATATACTTGTATATGTATATTTTTGTAAGAAAAGTAAGAGACTCCTAAAATCTTGTAATTAGAGTAATAACTTTGCTTCATTACCACTGTTGTTGTTATTATTATTTTATGATCAATATTTACAGAAGTAGTAATGATAATATTTAATTTATAACAGTGTTTAAAACTTAAAAATGAATTACATTTCATTTGAAACTTTAGTACAAGCTTTAAACTAATTTATTATGAAATCCCATATAAGAAATCAATATTGCATTCAACTGTACATTCAAAGTTACTGTTGATGAACGAAGTAAGTTGTATCACCACCCTTGCATCTTCAGATCCGAGTGGAGAAACTAGGTATGGCCACGCTTATGCATTAAATGAAACCTGTATATGAATCAAAAGCATAGAAACAGTCGTTGCTGCTAAGAAGGACATATGTAATCATATAGAACATATAAAAAAACGTTTTCAAATAAGGTGACACAGATATAATTTTCACAACCAATTGAGATCCAGGTCTAAATTCCCTCTTATTTATGTCTTTTGTAATATACTTTTTTAAAAAGCGAAGAGACTAAATCTAATGCGAACTCTTCTATATCGCTAACATTCAGCATTCCATCTCTTAGAGTTTTCTGTTTACTCTATAATAACATTATATTACAAAATGTATAATCGCATACACCAGGTTTAACTACTTACAGCTAGATCTCTGTTCTCTGTGTAACAGTAGCATCGTTACGAGCTCAATATTCTATTAATGCGCGAAACCAGTTCTGCTGCTGCTCAGATCGTACATAATACATGATGATTTAAATAAAAACAGAAATATTGTCTGAAGGTTTTAGCAAACATTACGTACTCTGGAAAGTTCACAAAGGTTTCCTGTTTGATTAACTTCAAGGTATCGCACTATCGATGATAACTGGTGAAGTAATCCCTTAAATTGGAATAGCAATCCCTTACGGATAACTGACGTCACAGGTGCAAATAAGAATTGAAACATACTATGGACGGATATATTGCACGCGGATATATAGTGTAGCACACGATTTGTTAACAGCACTACCATACAACATTTTCGTTTATTTTAAGATAAAAGTAAACAATATAACAGGCTTAAAGAACAGCTGACCGTTTTAATGAATTGTCAAAATAATGCAAGCATTCGAGAGTATTCCAACTCATTCTGAGCAATCCAACAAATTCGAACTAATCATGTCAATGTTATTTTTTCAATAAAGTAATGCATTACACAAACGTTCCAAGATCAGTTGAGAATTAACTTAGTTAAATCTCCAACAACTGCAAGAGTTAAAGGGAAAAAAAAACATTCTCTTTATCCTAACGCCACTGTTGAAACAATTCATAGTTAATGGCAATCGAAATTAGAAGCTACTGTACCATATCTCAGCAAAAGCTCTAGGGCAGCTCAGCTGAATTGCATCTTCTGTTAGAAAAACCATAGGTCATACACGTAGCACAGAACTTTAATGTACTTAATTAACATCCATTCCTTTTAAGTGGGTTATATGAATACAGACTAGATTAAATAAAACGGTACCTGTCAAAACAACTCCAGAATTCGTCTACTGTAGGTTCACATACAGTATAAGGCATTTGGCATGATAGTTCGAAATAAAACTGTCGTGGATTCTGATCAAATCTTTTTTTTTTAAAGGGTAATGTTTAAAATTCCTAGCCGAAAAACAAACCACTTGTAAAGGAATCAATTACTAACCATTCCAGAACTAAAAAGGGGGGGAACAAGGGCTCAAACACTTGGAGACACTGACTAAATTACGCTTCCATAATACATTTCTCGCCATATACAAAAAAAAACTATGCTGCAAAAAGCATGCCAGTTCACCATTTATGGGTGTTTTATCAGAATTCACCTGTTAATCTACATCGGATTTTTATTTGCATATGTAAATGACACAAAACCTCAAAAAGTTTACCCATATGTGACAATATACTGTATGCGCAAAGTATGTTCTATATAAGTGTCTTAAGTGTCTTAAGTTCCGCAAGAAAGTCTATAAATTAAAAACTGATTCCGCTAAATTTGTATACCATTATGCATGGAAGTTTTTTTTGTCAATTCTGTTCTACTGCATGGATGAAGTTCGTAATCAATTTTTAGCTTTCTTTAAATTAGATCTTGTACTCACCGTTACTTAATGCCACAGTCAGACTTAAAGACAGCAAAGCAACTATTCCTCCATAGGTTTTTTGAGCAAAATCCATTTTCAGATTTGGTGTAGAAAGAGCAATATATTGCCTTTCCTTTTGCCTGCCGAAGCGTGTGCTCTCTCTATCGCCTTTCCCTTAGTGCAGCTCTTTCACGCCATCCTGCTGCCAAACACATTTTAATATACTCTGCATGTCCTCCACAGACACACCTACAGTCCTGCCTCCTCTGAAACAAGCACAGCTAAAGTGATCGTTTTCAGACTGCCATGTGAAAACCTGCTTCACAGCAAATCATGTTACAGCAGACGGTCCAATGGAGACGGCTGGGTTATTTAAAAAAAAGCGATGTAGCGCTAGTTTTATTTAGGTTATTTTACATTAAGATACATTAAAAGATTGTATTAAAATACACCGCAGTATTATTTTAATATATAATAAATTTGGAATAAATAATAAGCAAATGCCAACTCTTAGTATTTCTGTTCCTGTATCCATGCCACCAGTGCTTTTAAATAGCAAATCGCAATGAACCAGTTTTACTTAAATTTGTATAAAGCTACGGGTTTGGTGTACATAGTTTCAAAACGTTAATGGTCACTATGTGTCGTGATCAGACGCGACTAGATCGACTGTGGAAAAAAAAGATCGATTATTTTAAATAGGTGAAACTCGTAGATATTTTGAAATTCCTTCGCATTAACGTTAATTCAGATACTTCAAAAATGGAAGCGAGCTCTTAATACTACACTATATATGATTAAGGCACATTTTTATTTAATTTACACAGTATAAAAATCTATACATACCTGTACACTGTATTTACTAACAGACATTATCTTTAGGAATACAAAAACAAGGGTTAAAGTTATTGCATCTCTGTGTCCCTGGCAAATATGCTGTACACTTCATCTACACTGAAACTAGACACTTGAAGTCTGTGTGAAACACAACGGGACATTAAGGTACACAGCATATTATTATATCACACCATAGTGTGATATACGCTGAACCCTTGCTCCAATGCAAAGGCATAGAATCAGAATACTAGACACTCTATAGTTTGCCAATGAACCCTGAAAAAACAGAAGGTGTCTAAACACTATGAGAAACCATGTTTTACTGCCATTATTCACAGTAATTTTAGACTGTAGAGTCAGAAAGCTACACAAAGGCATTGGCACGCTCAATCTATTCTTCTTAATGTTTGGAGATGACCTCTGTTTTGGACAAAGAAGGATCAATTCTATACCAACCTCATCTGAAAATTAATTGTGTTAACACATTGAAAAATAAAATACATCAAGGCCACACACTTAACATTCAAGTAAGGGTACAGGAGTTAAGTTTTATCTTTAGTTATACACCAGAGACATCATGTGTACAAGTCAACTGTACTGTACATACTGTAGATCATGGATACTTTACCATTAAAGACCCCTTTTAGACTAGGGTTCAGTTAAATCAAACTTTTGACTGTGCCACAAATGGCATAATTCCATGATGAATCCTTAGTAACAGTTTTTCAATGGGGAGATGGTAGAAGCCTCTGGCAAACTGGAGACTAAAATTCTGGAATCTATGAGTATCAGCTGTGTTAAACATTTCCAATGGGTCTATGAGCTTTTAAGCAATAAACTAAAATCTAAAGACATTGAAGATGTAGTATCCTGTTTAAGAATGCCCCCCACACAAAATACTTTCTGTACATAGTTAATGTTCATAAGGTAGTTCAAACATTCTATTTAAACTTCTGAGAGTTAAATATTGCACAATTTGTAGTATCCAATTCCCAAGAAAAATGCTTTTTAGAATGTTCTTTTTCTCACTAAGGACTATGTCCAAACACCGTTTCACAGACTCTGTATTTTTTCTTCTTTGAAAAAAATAAGATAGAAGACTTTCTTTAAATTACAATGCAGTAACAAAGCAATGAAATTCCAAAGATCATTCATACGTGTATGAATCTAGATTGCATTTTTCTATAGCTTCCCTTAAATGGCTGCGTGGCCTTTTCCTATCACCCAGAAGTAAAAAGTCACTTGATTTTTGTTTTCAGTTTTTAACACGTTGATGTAGTTTTCACTTCCATCCTCCAGTTCATATTTCACTCCTGTTTCTGAATAATTAGATAGGGTTCAGTTTGTCAATAATTTAGCAACCAACTACACCCCTTAGTATTATAAAGTACAGTGACCTCTCAATTTTGTAGTCTGTGGGTTCCCAAAGTACAAGGTTCGTTTTATTGAGTGAGCAATTGTGGTGTCAATGACAAGAAAGACACATCATTCAAACCCGTGATGTTTATTCTTAACAGGTCAGTATCACTCAACAAATAACAAGTATTATAAGATGTCTTAAATTTGTTCACAATTCACAGGAGCTACAACACAAACTGGTGGGTTAAAATACACCCAAAAAACACATCACATAGCACAAATATGAAAATAAGAATAAAATGTAACCCAGTCCACTTTGCAGAGCAAGGAATTACTGTACAATAATGTCTAATGTCAGTGATTCAGTATAGCCAGCACCCAACAGCAAAAAGATACTGCTTTCTTGGATCCTCTCACTATTCAACTGAAATTCGTTATGCCAAAGTAGCTTGTCCCAGGAAATAAATATAATGTTCGCTTCATGGTGTGCAAACATTCTGCAAGAAAATCTCTCTTCACTCTTTATAGATACTCTTATAATTAAGGACTCCCTCCATTCTTATTGAATAAGTCCAGTCATAGCAGTTGTCAGAAGTGCTTGTCTTTTCCCATACTGTCAGGGTGTGGCTCTAGACCTGAACATTTGATTATGACAATGACAACAATCTTCACATAGTTTTCCTAAGTGTCCATCAATTATCACAATCAAACAACTCTTGGGTTTGACAACTCTGCGGTTGGACCTGTAAGTGAAGGACAGAATTTAAGCAAGGAACTGTGGAAGATGAAACTCAGCACAACATGATACTTGACAATCATCAAACAATACCAGTCATCATGCAATCTGCATATAGTTCTAATGGCCTGGCTATTTGGAATTGAGGGACAAATGACAGAGGAAGATTATTACTAGTTATCATACAAAATAGTTTTTTAGCCGATACCTGTCAGAATAATGTTATCATGTTTTCTGTTAAAGACTAAAAACGTCATTTTAGCCTGTCACTCTATGATATTCCTTTAATCCTTTGAATGAATGGCTGTTCTTCTATGGAATCGTTTCAAAGCAGCAATATCCACCCCGTCATTTTGTAACTGCTTCTTCCAATTCAGGGTCACAGAGGAGCTGGAGTGCGCCAACATGCCACCATGAATTTGAAGCAGCAATATTTTTTTCCAAAATGTAGTGCCCAAAGTTTTACACATTTTAAATTAGATTTTACTTGTACAGATCCAGCCATTCAGAATTGCATGTCAGATAGTGCAGCACATTGCGTCGCACACACCTCAAGGAATTACCCTTTTTAAAAAATATTCTGTTGAGGGGCTGCACTATTTTGTAAAACCACCAGACGGAGCAGTGAATGCTTAACGTGGCATGTGGAAGCATTTGGGCTATCACCAGAAAACACCTGGTTTCAAATCCTGGTCAATACTGATTCCCTTGAGACAATATTTTTCCAATTAGAATGTTATGTATACTTTTTCAGTTTATATTAATTTTATACTGTAAATAATAGTATATAACTGAGTAATTTAAATATTAAATTAATTTAAAAAGAAAGCTATATTACAAAAACCCAAATTACTCAGTTAGATATATAAAAAATATAGTTTGTTATTGTACTGTAGCTTGTTGTGAACGCAATGTGCTTCTTTCAGGTTTACATCTATATTTTAATCTATATTAATGCAAATTTCAGTAACGAGTAAACACAATGTTATAAATGTAATGTGCTTCTTTCAGGTTTACATCTGAATTCATGTATTTATATTTTTTCTTAATGCTAAATTCAACAACAAGTAATAGGAAATTTTACTTTAGATTTTGCTAAAAATATATTTCACACATACTGTACTGTAGTGGCTTTAAAACCAAACAGTATAATACTGTATTTACTGTCTATACCATATATTTTTCATGCAGATTATATCATACTGCAGTTGATTAATGCACAGTATGATATAATGCACAGTATTGCACAGTCCAAAGACATAATGGGAAGTTAAATTGTTTCTGAGAAAATTGTCTCCAGTCTGAGTGTGTGTATCTGGATAAAGTATTATAAGTAATGGTTTCATGATTAAGGAATTCTTCACAGAATTCTTTAAGTTAAACAAAGGAGATACCTTTTTTGTATTTTACAATTGCTGGTTATTAGAGAATAAGTGAAGGCATCTGAAGAAGGCTCCACAGCCAAAACATTGTGTTTCTTTTTTTCTCTTTTCAGCATGGGATAAGTCTTTACTTGTTACTTTGTAACCTACGCATGCTGACGCAGCTACCTACTTTAACAACTTATAAATATGTTGAAACCATACCATGACCAAGAAGACAGACATATTACACCTTTAAGTGAGCCACTTACTCACTCTGTTGTCCTGTTATGCAAACTGTTTATTCAACTCCACTTATTAAGCTCTTAGATCCTGACTGATTTGACTTTCTGTTCATCTCATATAGCTGAAACAGAAAAAGAAGATGCAGTTAAACTTATTGGATGGCACTCAGTTTTATTATCAGACACTGTGACTCAAACAAGTGCTGTACAGCAATATAGATGTGGGTAATGTCACCCCAAGTAAACAATGTGCTTATTGCGTAAATGCTGCTAAACTAGAGGTGTTGCAGAAGGAGGTAAAGTATTTGCTGGAGCACAGTTAAGTTCAAACAAGCAATAGTTTTTCCCTTGATTACTTGTACCAAAACTTGGTGGGAAGTCATGGTTCTGTACCAATTTCAGAAAAGAGAATGCTGAAACTCCACCAGAAATCATGCATGCAACCCTACTCGAACATCTGAATTTCTGAGATCGAAGCTCAACCGCCAAAAGAGCAAACTCAAGTTTTTCAGACCCTGGAAAGACAGGATGAGAGCACTGGAAGGTCTGGAGCTCTGCAAGAAGCCCCTCAAGATATTGGGGGTTTCATTTCAAAGCCAGAAGAACTCATCAACGGGACTGAGTTGGAAGCTGATCTCTGGAAAATGTAGTCGTTGTCCCTCACGGCGAAAGTGATGATGTTGAAA